GGACTCTTAACTTTCACCATGCATTAAAGCAAAATCCAAGTGAATTAAAGATCTAAATATTAAAACAGAAACACTAAACTTGCTAGAAGATAAGTTAGTCAGAACTCTTGAAGACATTAGCATAGGGAAAGATTTTATGAACAAATCCTCAGTAGCATGGTAACTAGCAGAAATAATCAACAACTGGGATCTCATCTTATTAAAAAGCTTCTGACTGCAAGAGAAATCATCAACAGAACTAAGAGACAACCTACAATGTGGGAAAAAATTTTTACCAGCTTCTCCTCAGACAAAGGACTATTATCTAGAATATACAAAGAACTCAAAACAACCAGCCCCCCACCAAATACAAGAACGCAATTCAAACATAGGCATCTGAAATAAACAGACATTTCTCAGACAAAGAAGTAAAAGCTGCAAGTAAATATATGAAAAATGTTCCACATCCCTGGTCATTCGAGAGATGCAGATGAAAACAACACTGAGATTCCACCTCACCCTACAAAGAATGGCTGCTATCAAGAAATCAACCAATAACAAATGTTGGTGGGGTTGTGGGGAGAAAGGAACCCTTCTCCATTGTTGCTGGGAGTGCAGATTGGTGCAACCACTATGGAAATCAATATGGAGATACCTCAAAGAACTAGCACTAGAGGTTCCATTGGACCCAGCCATCCTTCTGCTGGGTATCTTTCCAAAAGAATTAAAAGAATCATATCACAGAGAAGTATGTGCACCTATGTTTATAGCAGCACAGTTTGTAATAGCTAAAACTTGGAAACAGCCCATTTGCCCATCAGTTGGAAACTGGATAAAGAAGTGGTTTTTCTATAAAATGGAATATTACTCAGCCATAAAGGATGAGAAATTAGATTCATTCATAGGAGAATGATACATAGTGAGGATATACTCCTAAGTGAAATAAATAAGTCACACATGTGTAAATACCAAATAGTTTCTCTAGTGTGAATAAACTATAATAGTACACAAGATCCTAATGATATAATTGACAATGTGAAATAGGAAGAAAAGGGCTAAAGGTGTAGGGAAAGTGGGAAGGGTAGGGAAAAGCTAATAAGGGAAAAGAAAAAAATATGAGAAAATGAAAAAATTGAAATGAAGTATTTGTAAAGGGGGATGGGGTGAGGGGGTGAAGGGAGGGCAGGGACAAGGGGAAAAATGAGAACCAAGACCATGTAAAGGCACAAGATCCCAATAATGAATTTAACTGTACTATATACCTAAAATGTACCAATAAACTCAATGAGGAAAAAATTTTTTTTCCAATAATATGGCTGATTGAACACAAGCATTTAACTTTCACTCCCTCTTACACTCAAAATGTAAAGGAAGTTAGTTTAGGGGTATGGTGGAGGCAGTGCTTGCTATGTTATTATTTTTATTTTATGCATAAACTATAAGAGAAAAATCACAGCAACAGAATTTTGGAAACCAGAGACCACAGGCCAACTACTGATTTATTTGGCCAAAAAGATACCTGAATTACAGAGAGCCAAGAAACACAATTTATACATTATAAACCTTGAATCCCAGGAATTGAATGATCTGGAGCTGGCAGTGGGGCTCTGAACAGAAGGGTGAATATGAAGTCTGTTTAAGAAACAGACAGACAGACAGACAGACACACACACACACACACACACACACACACACACACACTAAAGAAACAGACACTGATCTGGGGATGTATTCAGTAGAAGAGCACCAGCAAGCCCTGGGTTGAATCCCCAGCATCATTGTTTCCTCTACCCCAAAAAGAGAGAAATGAACATCTCTTCCCCCGGTGCCTATAGGGTTATTTCTTGAAGAAAGTAAGACAGAAGATCTGTGAGGAAGGGCTTAAGACAGGTGCAGTACCTTTCTGAAAAAGGGGGATTAATTAAATGTTTACATTGTAACCAGTGAGTAGATAACTTCTTAATTTATATTTTTCAAAAATGAATTTTTATATTTATAAGTATATGTTACTTATATAAGCTAACTCAGAATTAAACAGTAAAACATAATAGAACCTCTATTACATGATATACTCCATAATCCTTAACCAAAATCCTGGAGGTCAGCTATATTTCAGAACTCAGAAAGTGTTTGTTGAATTAGTAAAGTACAAAAATATATATTATCTTATATGAGCAGAGTCTGAGGCATCCCCCAGTAATTGAATATATTAACATTTCTGCAATGAAATGTATGAATACACTTAAATACACACCAATTGGGATAAATAAGGAGTAAAATAACATCCTGTTGGAGTCAGGCTTAGCTTCTAAATTACTGTAGTTTTAATTAAAAACTAAAACACAAAACAGTGGTTTTCAGAGGTAAAGGAGAAGGTGAATAGTGAGTTAATACATAATGAATACAGAGTTATGTTTTACAAAATAAGAAGAGTTCTGGGGATGAACAGTGGTCATGGTAGGACATTATGAATGCACTTATAATACACTTAAGAATGGTTAAGATGGTAAATTTTATTGTATATATTTTACTGCAACAAAAATAGAAGAAACCAAACAACTTTTTGTTTTCAAAGCTTTTTGGATTTCACAATTCTAAAAATGCAATCACAGACCAATATTTGGATATAGGGCCCACCCTTTCAAACCTGATACAATCTAAAAAAATAAGCTACTTAAGTGTTCTGTGCCTTATTTTCTTCTATAAAACAAAATTAAATTATGGTAAAAATCTTCAAATTAGATAACACGATGTTTTAGCTGTTACCTCTTCTGTGAGTTTGTTATTATTCAGACAACACTTAGAAAGATTATCCAAACCCGCTTTGGTATCCAATGGGTATGGCTCTGGAAAGAATCTTTTGGGTTCACACAGAGCACTCTGACCTTGCTTGATGATTTTCAACAGCACCATGGATATCAGACAACTCACCTATAATGAAACACAAACCCAGACAACTCCAGACAAAATGGTGACAGGAACAGAGTTTGTTTCTAGGTTCTCACTCTTTACCCTCCTATTTACGCCACTCCCTTGGCAGCTAGGACTTCAAACTGTCCTCTAGTCCACATTTTGCCTGGTCCTGCCCCATCAAAGAGCCCACTCCACTGGACAGTTCTCAAATTCCTGTCCCTGTGTCCCATTTACCATAGTCCAGCTATTTACATTTTAAAAGGTTAATAATAACTACATAAATTAATGCAAATATGTTAATAAGTTTCTTGAATCAAAACATTCCTCTTCCTGGATAACACCAATTTCTGCTTTTCAGGAGGCACTACAAAATTCTTTTAAAAGCCTAAGGAGGTGCCGGTCATGGTGGTGCATGCCTGTAATCTGAACACTTTGGAGGCTGAGGCAGGAGGATTGCTTGAGTTTGAGACCAGCCTGGGCTACATAGTGAGCTCCAGTTTCAACTACATAGTGAGATCCTGTCTCAAAAAAAAAAAGCCTAAGGAGGTATTTAGGGGAAGGGAATTAACCCTTAATAAAAGCCTGTTACATTTCAGGTATTATACTAAGTACTTTGCAGTTATTTCATTCAATCTTCATTTAAAGTCTCATGACAAGACTGTATTATAAACCAATGTTTTATAGGGGAAGAAATTGAGGCTCTAAGGAGGTAATTTTTTTAAAGTCACATAGGCAGCAGTAGCTCTATGAACTCATTCTCTTTCTGTCACCCTTGCCTCCACAAAGGTGTGTCGCAATATTAACACCCTAGCAACCAACAGGGAAAATATTTTGAAATAGGCAGGGCCTAGTGTCTCCCAGAGACTAGCAGATTCTTCCACTAGTTCCTTCTTTTAAAATTTTTATTTACCTCTTAAGATTTACTGGTCAGTACATTATGCCAAACACAAAATGAGGAGGGCCTTCCTTAAAATAATTGTAAAAAACCTCCATTTGGCTACAACACTCATACTCAAAAATGGTCAAATAAGGAAAGCTTAAGTATTAGAGACATACTGTTTGGTGAGAAGACCACGTCTTTAGAGAGTAGTTTGGCCATAGCTAAATAGAACTATGCTTATATGCTGCTTGTACTGTTATAATCTCACACTGGGGCTAAATCATGGTGGGTGGAGCACCACTTCCTTCCTAATTTCCATCCCTGTAATATAAATTCCAGGATAGCAGAAATGTTTTCAATGCTATGGCCTCAGTGTAAAAAACAATGTCTGACATGAGGGAATTCAATACATATTTGTTAAATAAATTAATGTCTTTACCTTCTTTCTGTAGAATTCCTTTAGCCTCTTATCTCTTCCTATACCATATTTATCCCACATTTTCTAGTGGTCCCTCCAAATTTCTAAATTGTTCTACCAAATCTTCCCTTCTTGTCCCTCCTGTTTCTGCAGAAGGAGGTTTAAAAGTAGCAAAAATATTTTCACTGTGTATACATGTATTTCTCATTGAGAAATGGAAACACAGAATACTCTTAGAAATGAGTTAAAATAAAGAAAGAAAACATATGGTAAATGCACCGTGCTTTCAATTCTTACCAAATGCAGATACTTATACACTGAAATTGCAACAGCTGTGTTTATTTCATAATTTAGACATTTTGGGAAAAGTGCAATGTGTTTATTTTAATGTCAGCTTGATGTCAAGTTTAAAATATAAAGTGAATGTGTCTATACATTTTGCTTCTTTTCCTAGAGAATCTTTTAATACAGTATTTAAATAAAATCTATATCCTTAATTCCCAGCATTGGTCACATACTAACTCAGGGAAAAATTCTCATGAATTGTGTTATCAGAATGTTCTCAAATATGTTCTAATAAGTTGGAAAATAAACTTGGGAGCACAATCTAAGCTTTATTTCACAAAAAAGATCTACATTTAAAGGAAACAAAATCATCACATGTACAACAACATACAGAGTTGCTATAGTAGCAAACTACATTTCTTATATTTTACTCTTCTAATGTGGTACATGTGAGTTATTACAATCAATTAATGTCAACATTAGCTTCCTTCTAATCATAGAGATCTCTGGAAATTTTATACTTACAGTTCAAGGAATTCTCAGTTTTAGCCAGTGTCATCTTCTGTCTTTTCTAAAAATTAGAATTAAAAAATATAAAATAATGATTAATATTTGACATGGAGCTAAGTTTTCACCATCATTTTACTCATGTAGAAATTTTCCTAAAATTACAAAAGAAACATTACCACACAAATGTCATTCTGAACGTTTGAAGTATTGCTGAGTGTGTGAGTGTGTGTGTGTGTGTGTGTGTGTGTGTAAGTACAATCTCCATGGGGAATAAAGACAAATAAAAAGTTTATAAAAATGTACCTTTGGTTTTACTATATAGACACACAAATCTACAATTGTAAGAAATACCTACTGTCCCAAAGTATTAGTTCTATGATGTCCTCTAAGCTTCTATTTCACGACTTCAAAATGTATTGTCCTGGGCTCATTTAAATCATTATTGATTAACATGATCAGAAGAACCCCAAACACCCCATATATGTTAGAGCACTGGCTTTTTCAGAGTTCCCATCTATTATCTTTCTAATGGCCCAAGCCAATCCTCCTCCAGCCACACAGAAAATGAGCAGCCCTCAAAAATAGATATGTTCTTCGCTATGGACTAACAGAACACACCAATAATGTGATGCTTTCAAGTCAAATAAATACGAATCTAATTTATAGCTATTATTCTATCATAACAGGATAACACTGAGGCCTGGACAGGAGAAAATATGTAATGAAGAATAAAGGACTCTGCTAAAAGGAACACCTGAGTCATCCACAGTGTGAATTCATTTTAACAAGATTAGAAAACCAGATGCAGCTTTCTCTTGGGACTAATTGAACGAAACTATGTAAATGTTACCTACCTTGCCACAAATATTCTTCTAATCCTCCTGCCTCCCAGTATTTTGTACTTTAATATATGGATGCACTTTAATACAAGCACTTGTCTATTTGTTGAACATATTTTCTCTGACTTTATTTTTTAAAAAACTCAGAGAAGACTTTCTTTGAAAGCTATAAAAAAAAAATACCTCTATTGACATCCTCCAATGTAAATAGATCAGCTTCATTGTTTTTCCAGTCAAGGGGAATCACACAGTCATCAGGCAACAAGGATTCTGTGGAAAAAAGAGAATAAGAAATTTCACAGATTTTCATCCTAAATATGAAGATACATAGATAATATCTATTTATAAACTGCTATGATGTTAAAAGTCTGGTTTTAAAGATATCTCAGTGATGACTAACAGGAGCTTGCCTCATGTCTCTATTGGTAAACAATATCCAGACTCAATGAAAAGTTTTACTTTAATACATGCAAAATGATTTGAGGGCCGAGGATTTAGCTCAGCGGTTCCACCGCCTGCCTTGCAAGCACAAGGACCTAGTTTGATTCCTGGTACCAAAAGAAAAAACAATTTGTGTATCATAGTTCATATCCTAATATAAGCATAAACATGTATTATATAGCAATACATACTTATATATTAATACTTAAAGTAGTATTGTCACAATTATAAAATTTAGGTAGTCATCCTTTCCTGTGACATGGATGAAACATTACAATTCTAGAAGTTTAATCTTCCTTCCTTTAATTGCTCCTTCCACATATGAGTGTCTAGGGGACTAATTCCTCACAATTAAGATGTTCATAATAAATTCAAACATTAAATAACCGAAACATGCCATATCAGCCATACCCAAATCACAAAAAATATTTTCCTATATTCACATAGTCCTAGAATTATACGTAGTTTGGTTTTTTAAGATCTATATATGGCTGTATTATATTATCCAAGCCAGCAGAGTTCCTAATACTGATTCAGCTGAGTTCCCTGCCTTATTTACAAAGGCACCAATGGTACACTGGAGCCTGGCTTTGTTGTCCACTCCAGCCCAACAAATCAGTTCACAGCCTCCACTTCAGAGTTACCTCCTTTCCCTTTTCAAGCACATGAGATTTCCAAATGTGATTTTCTTCCCGTTTTTCTTTCAGGCCACATTCTTTGTCCTTTATATAAACACTGCATCTAATTCACTTTCTGTTTTCTTTTTTTTTGGTACTGGGGATCGAACTCGGGTCCTTGTGCTTGCAGGGCAGGCAGCGGAACCAATGAGTTAAATCCCTGGCTCTGATTCACTTTAATATTGAAGTCATCCCAAACAAAACCATAATCCATATTCTCTTCAACAATCCCTTAAGCACTGCAAACCTCATTCATAAAATATTCAGAAGCTTGTCATTTATATTTTCTCTATGTGGTGACTTTATTTTGTGTTAGTGTTGTCTCTTTTAAAAGGTAAGCTATTTGATGAATGAGATCTATTTCCTTTACAAAGCTTTTCAAAGTTTAATAGAGGCCTAATCATTGTTGATTATGATGATATTGTGCATTCAAGGGAGGAAGTCTAGAATTTTTTTTTTTTTTTTTTTTGTTTTGGGAATGGAGCTCTGGACCTGTGTTTGTGAGGCAGGGGATGGCACCACTGAGCTAAATCCCGGACCCTAGAATCTTTTTATACCAGTGCCTCTGTGCCTTCTGGTGCTGATCTACAGCAGTGATTGTTAATCTTTTTGGGTCATGAACCCCACTGATAAGCTAAGGTAATCTATTTACTTTCTCCAAACAAAAGGGACACAAAATGATATACAAAAAATATTTGTATACAATTTCAGAATTTGAATATTGGACTAACATCTCTGGCCTCAAATGTCTTTAATTACTTAAAATTCCAAAAACAAATACATTTTAATTTTTTGAGGTTTTTCCACTCATATATTAAAATAATAAAAAAATTTCAGCAAATGGTTGAAATAAGATTATTTACAAAGTTTACAAATATGATAAAGATGACATCAGAATCCCCAAAATAGGTTGGTAATTATGATTCCCTGGCCCCGGGAACTTAGCCAATCTTAGATCTGAGCTGCTGGGAACAAGTTTGTCCAGCACATTAGAGCTTTAGGGGCAAAATGAAAAACTAGGGGGGACAAGCTTTAAAGAGGCGGGGCTGGGGAACCCTGACAGGAAGATCCAGAATTTCAGGGAGTGGAACTTTGGTTCTTGCCTTTTCCATCCATAAGGAAGAGTTGTGAGAAGTATACATCATTGAATTATAGAGAAGGAAAAGCTGGGATATACACTCCATTTCTTCTTTAGGATATTGAACACCTTAAACATACTTATTACAGAGAAGAAATTTACTTAAAATATTCATTTGTTTTATTCAGAGGTAGGTTTTTCATTTTTAAAATAACATTCTTAAGAGCCTGAAGGAACCTTTTATAGGGAATTAGCCAGACTCTCTCCTAATCTCTTTAGTACCTTTCCTCCTCAGACAATCTTTAAAAAATAAATTCACTACTTCAGATTTTTTTCCACATTAATTATTTACTATCTCCCATTTTTTACTAGTCCTTTATCTTGGAGCCATAATTGTGAATGAGAAAAGAAAGGGCCATGTGCCAAAAAAGGGAAAGGCAGCAAGTCAAAAGATTAAGCAGGGCTAGGGAATGAGCTCAGTGATTCCACCACCTGTCTTGTAAGCATAAGGTCCTGAGTTCAATCCCTGGTACAAAAAAAAAGCAGCCTATCATTATCACTGTCTCTCATCCTTCACTCTTCATGTCTATTTAAAGGGAGAGTCCAGGTATTCTGTGTACCCAATTAAGAAGATATAGGTAGCCAGACCCGATGGCACAGACCTATAATCTCAGAACTATGGGAGGATAAGCCAGGAGGATCATAAATTCAAGCCTAGTCTGAGCAATTTAGTAAGACCCTATCTCAGAATAAAAGATAAAAAAGACTGGAGTTATAGTATCGCACAGACAGACAGACACACACACACACACACACACATGTCTATTGGTGATAAGGTAAGGAGTAGGAGGAGCTTTAAAAAAAAAAAAAAGCCAGGTTTGGTGGTGCTATAGTCCCAGCACTCATGAGGTTGAGGCAGAAGGATCACTGTGAGCCCAAAGTCAGCCTCAACTACTTAGTGAGTACAAGATCAGCCTGAACTGCAAAGTAAGACCTTTTCTCAAAAACACCCCCAAAAATTAATTAATTAAAATAAAAATTAAAAAACATGCACTGTTAGCATTGGGTCCTTTTACTCTTGAAAGATGTTACAAGATCAATACATTGCATGAGACAGTTAACATCAGGTAGAAACACTTCAATAATTTATTTTTAGTAAGAGAAAACCATTTACCCATTGGAATTCCAGGAGATCCGAATACCTTTACTAGTTGAAAGGCAAAGTCTTGTGATAATGGTAGCCCAAGGAAATTAAAATCAGTGCTTATTAAATCTTGTCTATCCTTAGTTAGTAAGCACTGTAATGGCTTAGATTCTTCCTGTCTCTTCAGCTTGTCACCAAATTGTTGATTTAAAAAGTAAAGTTCAGAAGTAACCTTTAAAGAGCACAAAGTATGAAGCTGGCCTCTTAAAATTTCTGAAGAAATAAACTCTACATCATTTAGTTTATTACCTAATCTTGTCTGAGGTTTGAAAGTCAAAAATGGTTTTTTGTTGGTAAAAAGTATCAACCAAAAGCTAGATATATAATGTAGTACAAGAGAAGGAACAGGATATTTGTATAAACATACAGTGCATCCTGGTCTGTTAAGTGGCAGGTAACGAGAATAAAACTGTCCACCAATATTTAGAAGGGAATCTCTCATTATACCAAGGTAAAACCACAATGGATGATGGTTAAAGGCCATGACTTTTTGCTTCTTCTCCTTTTTGTTATTTATTTCTGAAATTTTATCATTTTCTTTTCCCAAAATATTGTTCAGTTCATACTTTTCTATTAATAGGCCATATTTCTCCCTTTCTTTTGCATTTATATTACTCTGTTCCAGTAAATTCAAGTTTGGTGCCAACTTGAAGATCCTATTCTGTATCTTTTTCTTATTCTTTGTTGGTTCTGAGGCATTCTTCAGGATATCTATTTGAAGTAAAGAGCTTCTGAATATATTTGTTTCTGTTTCTATGAATGAATCTGTAGTTTTAGTTGAAGGTGACAAATCTTCATTTTCTATCAGTAGCTTTTCCTCTACCAATATTTCTGGATTACTTCCTGGTCCTGATGCTCCTTCAGAAGTAGAAATCAATTTAATCAGTTGTTCCTTGCTGTCAGGACAGGTCAATTTCTGTGATCTATCTTTCTTTGGTCTTTGTTCACATACAAACATATGAGTTCCCTCAGGCCAGCTACCAAAACAGGATTGTCTGTCAGGGCCTAGCTGTAATTCTTTATCAGATAAATTGGCTGTAAAAAAAGCCCAACAATTGTTCTTAATTTTGTGTACTCCTTGTTCCTCTATTAAAAGATCTGAAGTTCTACATTGATAGTATGGAACTGGTTCGTTTGAGAGAAGTTTGTCTATCATCTCTCTCTTCTTCATAAATGAACATGGGATTTCAGCAAATAGGTCCTGGGTATCTAATGCCAAGTTATGTCTATTTCCAATATGCTTTTCTACCTTCATGTCAGAGAAGTCATTCCTTGTTACACAAGGAAGATTTTGAGGCTCTGTTGGACAAGTAACATTTGACGACAAAGTTTGAAGCAAGTCATCAACTTCCCTACGGAAGTAATTCTTTGATGGGCTGTCCAACTCAACTGTAGGTATATTTGGAAAACAATCTTCAGGATCTATGTTTTTCCAACTATTTTCTTCATAGCCATTCACAAAATCCCCTACTTCATTTTGTAAGCCACTATTTAAGGGACAAATTGATTCTCTTTTGATCTCTTGAAAATCTTCTTCACCTGGGTCTTGATCTCCTGAGGTAAGATAATTTAAGGCTTCAAATGAGTTTTCAACCATGATTTCACCAAGAATCTTATGCTTTTTGTTTCGTTTTCTGTTTTTCTTCTGTTTGGTTTTGCTGAGTCTATGACCACTTTTCTTCAAAACCTTTTCTCTGGAAAATAAAAGAATTAAGATACCTCATAACTTAAATATTTGTATAACATTAGCAAACTGTAACATCAAACTGTTAATATGCAGATTTAAAATCATTAGCATAACAGATTCTAAAGTATACATGCATTTTATACTGTTTTAAAATCATTTTTAAAGAGGTACTTTAATAATGCAAATGAAAATGTGTATACATTGAGAAAACCAAAGCTCATGTGTACATACTAATTTCATAAACTAATAACTTTATGAAAATCTAATATTTTCCTTAAAGAAAATATTTCATATACATAAGCAAAACCTACCAATAGATATTTTAGATTTCTTAACATTGTAGATTTTGAAAAATAAAAAATGGCTGGTATAGTCCCAAACTGCACAACTTTTGTGGCTTTAATAGCTAGGTTTTATGCAGACATAAAAACTCTGGCAATGAAGTTGCTCTAACAAATTATATACAATGGTTAATAAAGAGCAGCTTAGTTCAGCATTTGGGCAACATGTTTCTAATTGCCTAGCTGGCAGTGGGTCAGAACCAAAGGTTATAGCACTACTTTGTATATGGGGATTAGAGATAGGTAAAGGCATTTGTGGTGGTCACCATGATTGGTAATGTGTTCCTGGTATTGGGTAAACTGTTCTACAATTTCCAGTTAAAAATTTATACTACACAAAAGAGTAATAGAATACTCATCAATCACACTATCAGTTAGCTCCCATTAATTGAGGACAATATTTGATCCTAAGAGAAAAAAAAAAAGATTTAGGGATTTTCTGATTCTGAGCATAAAGGTCCTGCTATCCTCTCCACAATGGCTTATTCCACACTGGATAATTAAAATTAAGGACTAGGTGTCAGTGAAAACAAAAAACACAGTGGAAAAAGGACAAAAAACATGAGAAGAAAAACATCAAAGACAGAGTAATAGGAAAACAAAGAAGCAGAGAACAAACATAAACACAGAAGAATAAAGAGATTATGGGGAAAGGGAAAAGTTCTTTGTTCTCAGGCTAGGAATTGGGCAAATGAATTTATTAAACCAACCCTGGGCCTCTGGCCTAGTTTATTCCTAGCTTGTACCTAGTGCTTCTAGGTAATTTTTAAGAGACAGTTACATGAACACCTTGTTCTTTGTCACCATATTGCTGCTGTCCTTGTTTATACATTCCTGGGTATTGATTCAGAAAGAACACTGGAGAATGCTAATGTACCTAGAAGCAGTTGTGTCAGGGCCACAATATATTGAGTGAAGGATACCATCTTTGCTAGTAACTCTTTCATGGTCGGTTCTGATTCCAAGGAAAGCTCTACTTCAAGTTCAGCTGGCAATCACAATTATACCAGTAACTTCAGTGCCAAATTCACACCAAAGTCTAGGTTGTCATTGTAAAAAAAACAAAATAAAACAAAACAAAACTGTCTTTGTCAAATGTAAACCATCCTGTTTCAAGTCAAGGAGAAAAACAATGGGTAGTTTTTGTTTGTTTTTTAATTTATTTATTGGGTTAAATGGTAATATACTGAGAACTTAAGACTCATTCCAGCTTTATGGTTTGCTTGTTCTATGGAGCTGGATGCATTAAATTTGCAGCCATTGTCCCTCTAAGAGTTCTGAACTGCTCAAGGAAAGAAAAATGGACTTAGTAAAATATAGTTCATCAGTAAAATACTTATAACTCTCTGTGCCATCAGAAAGCCCAAGATCAGGGCTAGGGATTTAGCTCAGTGGTTCTGCTACCTACCTTGCAAGTGCAAGGACCCAAGTTCGATTCCCAGTACCAAAAAACAAACAAACAAACAAACAAAAAAACAGAAAGCCCAAGATCCACCATACTAATTTGGAAATTTGCTTTAAAGAGAAAGCAAAGGGGCTGGGCATTTAGCTCAGCGGTTCGGTGGCCTGCCTCGCAAGCGCAAGGAGCCGAGTTCAATCCCCGGTACCAAAAAAAAAAAAAGAGAGAGAGAGAGAGAAAGCAAAAACTATTTACTTCATGCTTACTGTTTATTAAGATTACAGAGCTGCTTTATATGTACCAAATAATGTAAGTTTCACAACTATATGAAACTACATACAAACTATATAGAGACAAAAGGCCACATCAAAAAAGCAACTGAAACAAAAAGAAGCCAAAAGAATTTGCCCAGAGTAGCAGAATTTGGACCTAGATTCATAGTCTGTAACCTTAATGCAAAACTGCTTCCCTCCCTCCCTCATTCCTTCCTTCCTGGGTACCAGGGATTGAACTCAGGACCTTCTTTCTGCTTGCCAGGCAGTTGCAGAACCACTGAGCTATATCCCTGGCCCAACTGTCTCTCAGTTTAAAAAATAAAGTGTACAAAAGACTTTTTTCTCCCTTTCTTTTCCTTCTCACGTGTTCAAACACTTACATGTACATACACAGAGCTACTCTGGTGGAAAGGGTTGAGGTCTTTCAAGAAGTACGTGAGGCTTTTATCACTAACCTAATATGTAATACCTTAAGACTTCTCTTGTTTGTTCTCTCTCTCCCTCCTTCCCTCCCCCTTTCAAAGTAAACAAGGAACAACTACAGGAAGTGAGAGTATGAGGAACCCCTTTTTCCCTAATTTGTTCTCATGTCAAAGCTCTTTGTGAGCAATAGGAAGGCCAGAGTTTATGGCCCTAAACTGGGATAAGAAAAAGGCACAAGTAGCTCCTCTTATTTAGTACACTCATCACTGGGTGGATGCAGTGAGAAATGATTAACATTCTGGATACTTGAAGGGAAAGATTAAAATTTGAAAAATTGGATATAGGAAAAAAGATAAGCATTAAGTATGAATTGCTATGATTTTTTTTCAAGAATGAAAAATGATAATAATCAAGAAAAAATTTCCTGAATATTTGGAAGGATGCAGTGACCATGTACTATTGTGTCACTGGTCTGTGCAAGGTATGAATTTGCAGAGAAGGTTGTTAAAAGCAGTTGCCTCAAATTGTAGCTTAAGAGTCTGAATGAACAGGCTAATTCATTCTTTTTTTGTTGTTTTTGTTTTTGTTTTTTTGAGAAAGGTCTCACTATGTAGTTGAGACTGACCTGGAACTCATTATGCAGCCCAGGATGGTCTCGAACTCACAGCGATCCTCCTACCTCAGCGATTAATCATGCACCAACCACGCCCAGCATGTGTGCGGATTTTTTTTGTTGTTGTTGTTTTAACCAGGGACCAAACTTGGGACCTTGCGAGGCAGGTGGTGGAACCACTGAACTAAATCCCCAGCCCCAAATTCGTTCATATAGCAGCTATTAGAACAAAAGAAAACAAAAAACAAAAGATGCTTTCATTAACATTCCTTAAAGGTTCCTTTGTTTTTTAAATACCTCCCACTTAGAGAAAGTATACTAGAGACCTGCTAAAGATAACAACTCACTAAGCATACAGAGAAGTGAACACAATAGATTATTGAAAAAAAAATCAGCTCACAAAACTAAACTGTTGAGAGTGGAGAATCTAGCAACTTATTAAGGCACTTTACTAAGGTTGTCAAGACTCTCTAAAGATTGGAATTCTAATGAAAAATACAACACAATGCCAACATGAAAATCTGAAAACTGGCTTTACAAAGATATGTGCCAGAAATGTGTACAAGTTCTGCACCACTGAAGTTCTAGAGAGGTTTTCCTTTCCTTTGGAAAGGAAACACAAGTCAGTAGAAGGGACTTATGAAGCTTCTGGGAGATAAGAAAAGTGATGGTAGTGATAACCACTGTTGGAATACATATGCCACTAATGTGGCTAACCAGAAGATGCATTTTCTAAGGGAACATGTATCTATAAAGTGTGAAGGTTTCATCAAAGCTATGTCAAATCTTGTTAAATCTGATCTCACCTGTGCTGATTCACTTAGGGGTGAATGGCACCATTAGGGGGGAAAAGCATCACAAAATAAATGTTAATTATGAAGAGGAAATCAGGAAAGTCAGAAAGACTGTAGTTTTTTAAGTGGAAGGAAGAAAATAGGAAATAAAAAATGGCAACACATTTACAATGAATAAGATTTCACTTTCTAGATGATGGCTTTGAAACTAAGCTCCTGGGTAGGGATAGGCTGTACCTCTCAAGAGTGTTTGCTGAGAGACAAGCTAACTTCATTAAGTAAACTGTGACCTAAAGACAAAAGTGAGCGAGGATCCAGATAAAGCCAAAACTGACTACTATGGAGAAGAAAAAAGAAAAACAAAAAGCACGGTAAGTAATTGACAAGTCTGACTCCATCTACCCCCACAGCAGCTGTCTGAGTTCCTGAGATCTGAGAACAGTCACAGTCCATTTCTACATCCTGCAGCTCTCTCACACCTGAGCCCAGGAACAATGTCTCTTCTGTTAAGACATGACACATCCACCCTACTTGCAAGGTCATAGTGCCCACTGCTATGGCCATAAGCTCAGCCTTTCTCACTGCCCCAATCTCACCCCCGCTTCATATCACTCCACCTAAACCCATCCTAGTAACCTTCTACTCTCTCCATAAAAGACTCAGCTCAATAAACTGGACTTGGACCCTCCTTTGGAGTTACACAAGGAAAGTCTCCCCCAAACCCTCAAGTCCAGACTGGCTATATTCTTTACTGGGTCATCACTGTTTACCCAACAGTAATGGTCTTCATGATAAAAATAAGTAAGGGAGCCAGAAACTATATTCCCCACAGCATAATTTGTATACTAACTCATAATCATGGACAATACATGAAGTAAATCTAAGATTAAAACACATCCAGATTATTAAAGACATATCATAGTTTTGTGGACTGTTAATGTAATTGAAATAACCCACCTGGTCCTGGCTTAGCAAAAAGCCAGCAGGATGAGATCTCAGGCAAATCAAGTCTCCTTTCTAAAATGGGAATAATATTTTCTCCTGGTAGAGTTCTTGTGAGAATTATTAATATAGGTGTTGTTAATCTCTATATAACTAATAATGAAAGATAACTGATTCTCCTCATTGCTTCTGTATAATAATGACTAATGTCAGTGGGATA